ATATATATATATATATATATATATATATATATTTGGTAAAGATATATATATAGTGATGGATCTACTTAATGCGTTAGTTTCAAATCTGTCATCATCATGGGAAAAATTACTACGAAAATTATAAAATTTTATTTTACGGCTTCGGTGGTCAAAATTTTCCATGTCACTAGTCTTTCAGCGTAAGAGAGAGAAAACAATTCTAGAAACATAAAATTATTATTACTATTCCAAGGGTTTTATAAGGTCAATTTCATAATATATACATAGATCACATTCTTTTACATGAATCATTGAACAATTCCGGTCACATTTGGAACTCCCATGTATAATTGTCAAACATCAAATTTCTAGTTAGGTGTCCACGTAACCACGTTACAGTTCACAGATATACAATTAATTGAGTTGAATAATATAAAAGAAACTTATATTAAAAATATCATAAAAAAATTCTAAATTCAAATTAATCGTTTTTTAAGAGAATGCGAATCCAATTAAAAAAATAGACAAAAATAAAATCTAAACCGAATAAAAAATCAATACAACTATCAAGTGTATATACTCTTGAGAGATCAAATCCGTCTTATATATCAACAGTATATTATATATATATATATATATATATATATATATATATATATATATATATATATAAATATAGAGTTGTAACACCCTTTGCAGTGCAGTGTATCGAAAAGAGGAGATGAATCTAATTAAATCTAAAATATAATAACGAAATTAAAAAAGGCAAGAGGAATTCATCTTCAAATGAACATTAATAACCCTATAGAGTGAAAAACAAATTGTGTGGAGGAGATTGAGGGAATCAGAATTTCGAGTTCTCCAACTAATTTTTGTGAGTGCTCTTCTTTTTTAGATTGGGGACCAAAACACATTAGAACTCCAAAGTCTTCGTGCGTGCATGCATGCATGCGTGCGTGCGTACATGCATGCATGCATGCATCAATTCCTTTTGCAATTTGACGTTGATGAGAATCTAGCAAATATATTATTTAGGAGGGCAAACGCATGCATTTTTTCGAGGTGGTATCTATGGGTTTTTTTTATTGATGATGAACACTTGCCACCTATCTTATAGACGATCCTTCTACAAGGGCAAATGTGAAAATTCAATAAAATCATATTATATTTGTTTATACCTAGTAGAGAATATATATTATTGTATAGAAAATACTATAGGGTATATTAGGATTCAAAAAATTTGGAAAATTTGTAAACCGCTACTCGCTATATATGTTACATTGTTTATAATTTTATATCAAATAGTATTCAAATGTGCATCACATATGCTGAATATCTATATGTGTTTATGTTCACTGAGGTAAATCATAGAATATTATATTTTTATTTTCCAAAAATAAAATATATTTAAAAAATACAATACACATGATATTATCCGGTTTGCACATAGATTGCTCTTTATTACTATTTTTTTTGTATTACAGAGATCTCTGTGTATATAAACACTAAAATTGTACAAATCACATATGGGCTAACAAGATAAATAGAAAAGCCCATGAAAAAGCCCAAATAAAATCGTGATAGGAAAAGGCCCATGTAGATTACAAAGGCGATGTACTCAGCACGTGACAACACGTGATCTTCTCAACCGGCTAGATAAGACCTGTCTGGTAATGAATCGTGTCCGTGCTATCCTTTGAGCGATCGATCATCAAATCAAAGGGTAGCTTATTATAAAAATTAGATTTAATCCAAGGAATTAGAGAAGTCCCGAGTAATTTGGGCCAATCCCTGTGATCTTAACGCAGTGAATCTTTCTCTCTTTTGAAAAGTCGCCCCAAAGAGCAGAACCCCACTCAGGTTCCCCCTTGCCGAAGTGTGTTCTTTCTCCGACAGCAAACTCGAGGCAGCGAACCCGAGGGAGGGAGAGAGAGAGATGGGTTTCTTCTCGTTTCTTGGAAGAGTTCTCTTCGCTTCGCTCTTCATCCTCTCTTCTTGGCAAATGTGAGTCCTCTTCTCGATCTGTTTTCCCGTCAGATCTTTTGCTCCGGAGTTTCGCGACCTGGGCTTGCTTCCCCCCCCCCCACCCTTTTCGCCTAATTTGGCTCGTTCTGATTTGAGAAAATTGAATCGAAGAGGATGTATCTTCGGCTAGATCTGATGTGAAATTTAGTGACTCCTCGTCTTCTTGGTTTGCTTTTCTCGTATATAGGGTTTGATATATCAGATGGTTTGGAATATGGAGCTGAATCTAGCTTTGGTTTGAAAGATTTTCCCTTTGGACCATTCCATTTCGATCTGGGTTGTTAAAGAAGTAAACTTTCTTTAATTTCCGAGCTTAAATAGCTCAATCAATGTCAGTAGCATTAGCTCCCGAATGATAGATTTGGAGGGTCGACAGTCTCAGGATATGCGTTGTGTTGATATCTTAGTAAAGTTGGAATCATGAATTATGTATTAGCGGTTTCTTGTTCTTGTTCATGATTGATCTGGTTTTGTATCCATAAAGCATCTACGGCTCAAAGGAGTATTCTTTATTTCAAAGTTTGAGCTGAGAGGGTTTGGCTGATCAATGGAATATACATTTACTGTCTGGTTCTTTTTCGAGCGAGAATCTCTTGCGAGCAATCGAGATTTTCCTTGGAACTGCAAATTTGCCTCCATTGATGTATAGCTCCAAGGGATGCAGCGTGATTTTCAGTTGCTTTGTTGTTCATACTGTCTCCATGTCATTAGAATATTAGATACATAAATGGTGCATTAGATCACTCCTGAAAATGCATTTTGCATTAGAAAAGAGCATCTTTTAGCTATAGGTCGCAGACAAATCGAACTTTTTGTTTGTTTCGATGTTCCCTCCTATTGAAATTAGGTTCATTTCCATGGTAATTCATTTCGTCCACTTGATAGTCCTGTTTAAACAATCTATACTTATATTACGAAAGAACGCTGTCCTCCCAAGTCTGAATTGTGCATCTTGGGTTTCTTTTACTAGGTTCAATGACTTTGGGGTTGACGGTGGCCCTGCAGCTAAAGAGTTGGCTCCAAAGCTTCATCTGGCCAGTGCACGTCTATCTTCCAAATTAGGGTTTGCCTTGCCTGATATCGAGGTATGAGTTGTTGTACAACCCTGGTTTCTTACCCTATGTGTATTATCTTTTTCTTTGGTGTTATAATTTCTTCATGATATATGCTACCGATGTTTCTGACAAGGAGAATGGGTTTTACAGGTCAGACAAGTCGTGGCTACTATTGTTGCCCTGAAAGGAGTTGGAGGCTTACTGTTTGTTTTCGGCAGCGTCTTTGGGGCTTATCTTCTGGTTAGGCTTCTTCTTAATCATCTTTGGTTGGCTACAACAGTAACGATATCCAAAGTGTAGCATTCGTCTGACTTTGTATTTTGTGTCTTTTTTTTCTTCTTCAGGCCTTCTATTTGGTGGCTATCAGTCCTGTTCTATATGATTTCTACAACTATGGGCCTGAGGACCAGGAATTCTCTCTTCTCTTCACCGAGTTCTTGCAGGTTTGCCTTAGACTTGAATCTCATATCTTAATCTCAAGAAATGTACTAACTGGAACTGGAACTGGAACTGGAACCTGTCAATATATTCACAACCCTTTTCATGAAACTATGCTACAGTACCTCCAAGGTTGTCTATTGTCTGAATTTAGCTCCAAACAGGATTTACCTTTTTGCAACATGAGAACTTCTGTCTCATAAAACTGGGATCTTTCTTAGTGTCCATTCATGACAACATTCCTAACGAGTGCGCAGAGAGTCAGTCAACCTCATTGTTGATCTTAATTCCGTTGCAGAGTGTTGCACTCTTTGGGGCATTGCTTTTCTTTGTCGGAATGAAGATCACAACGACAGCCTCCAAGAGGAATGCAAGGAAGAAGACTCCTAAACCTAAAGCTGCTTAGAGTTTGTGGGTTCTGTCCTGTCTGTCCCCACAGCCTTGGAGTTTGCTTGTCCAAATGCCCTTCAAAATTTTCAAGAAAGATCTTCTCTTTTGGATTTCTTCTGGAAGTTATAGGATTCTTGATTAGATCACGTTATATTAATGATTTTATCTTTATTTGGATTGATTTGGGATACGGAAGAGTTTTGAATGTATGGGTCGTACAGTTCCTGGATTGTCTTCTTGATCCAATTCATCTTCTTTAAAATATTGTCATTCTGCAGTGCAGAGATGGTGAGATTGGCATAGACAAAAAGTGTCTGGGTAAATATGAGATCTATGTTAACTCTTGGGGAGCCTCCTGAAATTTTGAATAAATTATAAGGACTCTGACCTATTTTCAATGTTTATGTGTGCATTTAGCAAATAAAAAAAGGTTTGGGGCCAAAATTAAGAATTGTAAAGTGTCTAAACTCTCTCAGTTTTCACTTGTCACCACTCGCCAGTCGCCAGCATCTACGGCAAACATAAATTGATTTCTACGAACTGATTCCGGGCTCCCGATTTTGTGCATGATAAACCCTAATTCCGAAGTTGCGGCAAGGAAAGTAGAGGATAGTTACGAGCACTTCAGCTGTTCATTCTCCTGGCAATGGTATTAGCTTTTTCTCTGCCCCCTTCCTTTTTGTTTTTGAGTGGGAGGCTAAATCCGATCCTCTGACGCTGGATTTTTGCTTTGCTGTTGTAGGATTACTTGAAATCTGTTGTTCCGTCTCAACTTGTGTCCGAACGAGGTTCGAACCTTGTTGTCATAAACCCAGGTTGATTCTTCGAATGCCTTTTCCGGTTTTTGTTGATTCAGCAAGATTTCAATTTCATACTTGATTCAAATGATTTCCTTCAGGATTTTTCGAATTATGTTTCGAAAATTTCCCGTCGCTAAACCCTAACATTACGAATTGTGTAAAATCTCATGGCACTTATTTTTTTGGCGAATCTTTAAGGGTCTGCAAATGTAAGAATAGGACTGGCAAAGCAGGACACACCCTTTAGTGTTCCTCACTGTATTGCTCGACGCACCTCACAAGTCGGGAAACCGAATGTTCAAGACCAGGTTTCTTTATTTTTTTTCAGGGTTTTTCATTTCCACAGATAGTTGTTGATCCTTTTATTCTTTCCAGTTTCCACTGATTTTAATGGCTTGTTTTTCGGTTTTTGAAGATGCTTAATACTCAAGTTACAACAAGTCAACATGTTGAGCGTGAGAAGGCATACAATACTGTAAGGAAAACTATGTGGTTTCGCGTGTGCTGAGTTCCAAGCGTTATGATGCTTCTAGATTAGTTCTCGATGTTGATTCGTTTTCCTCTTGTCTGAAAGGTGGCATCTCTGTTGAAGATACCGTTCCTGGATGAAAATGCTTCTTTTGGTTCTGCACCACGTAAGGTAGGTAGAATGTTTTGGTGACAATACAGCTTCTCAATGGTTTGATAAGAATATTGGGATATTCACTTCATCTAGCACGTTTAATTTGGCTTGTATAATTGATAATTCTAAGGAATGTGTAAAGGCTGGCTGGTTGTTTAATGATTGCTTGTGGTCATGAGCCTATGGATGGAGTTATCTGCAGATGGCACGGATCGATGGGTACAATCAACCAACTACCAGGAAAGATGTAGCTTATACTTGGGCTAATGTGTATGAGGATGATCTTTGCTCACCTACCACATCAGGTAGCATTCTAATTTTTGTCTTCTACTTTCATTTCACTTTCAGTATATTGGTTAATAGGTTTGTCTTTTATTCATGTTATTAAGAGTGCTTTGACTTCTCTGATGTTTGATTCTTTAGGAAAATTTACCAAAACCTAAAACAAGTAGGTTTAATGGTTTACCCCTTTGCAATTATGGGTGCTTTATGATGTAGTATTCATCTTATTCTGTGTCTGAACTGGTTCTTTAAATTATATCTAGCGTGGACATTGGTCTTTCTCTGAATAAATCTATATCACTGTTATGTTTATGTTTCTTTACATATGCCAATTTGCAGCAACTGTAGCTGATGAAAGCGAGACCAGCGAGCTGATGGTTGAATCTGATGTTACCGACTCTAAGGATACCAGGGAGAGTAAACGAAAGTATAGAGAGACTATTTTTGGGGAAGAAGCTATGAGAATAGCTCCGACAGAGCCATACTGCATACGCCGTCCTATTCGTAGAGGTCACTTCAATGTTTCACAGCATTACCCTGCTCAGCAGGTCAGTTTCCAATTCAGCTTTGCATCTATCTAGGCTCTCTGTTGGAAAAGTGAAAATGACCATTAACAGTCATTATCCTATGTATTGTCCTGGTTAAAAGTGAATTTTCTGAATCCTTATTTATCACTTCAACTTTTCAGGTATATGAAGACTTGATCGCTATCTGGGACTGGATTCTGAGAGATAAAATGCATATAGCTCAAAGTGACAGAAACTTGTATTCTGCTGTTCTTGTTGTTCCAGGAACATTTGGCAGTCGCGGTAAACTTGTTATTCCTATTATAACTTATCCAATACCATCAGACCAGGCTCTGATCAGTGTGAACTGGTCTTCTGATTTGCCTCATGTTTTTGTCAGAAATAAAGGAAATGCTAACTATTGTGTTGCAAGACCTACGCTTTAGTTCGGCTGTGGTTCACCAGGAAGGTCTAGCAGCAGTTTTCGGTAACGGGTTATCAACAGCTTGCATCGTGAATATGGGTGCTCAGACAACAACAGTTGTTTGCATTGAGGTATCGACAGAATCAATCTTAGTGTAGCTTTTCTTCCTCCCCAAAAGAACAGAAATTCTATGCAATTGGACGTTCAGAAATTTCTGACTTTTTGTTTTTGTATAATTTGCTTTTAGGACGGAGTCTCATTACCACATACTGAAAAGATTCTATCTTTTGGAGGAGAGGTACAAATGTCTTTATCGTTTCTCTTTGGTGTTTCTGAACAAGATGCATATTGATTACTTAATTTAAATGCTGAAGTGAAATTTATTTTTCAGGATATATGTAGATGCCTTTTATGGATTCAGAAGCATTACCAAAGTTGGCCTAAGATTTGCACTGATGTTTTGACAAAGCCAATAGACATGCTGATGCTTAACCGACTTAAGGAGTCATATTGTGATATTAAAGTTAGTTGTCTTTTCCTTTACTGTGTTTTTGTTTATCCTCTTGATAAGGATTATTGAAGTGCTACTTTGTTTTCGACATTTTCCCATACACAGGAAGGAGAACTCGAAATGACTGCAACAGTTCATTCTTATGAGGGTGACATGCCACCCGTGCCTCACAAGACAAAGCTCACCTCTCTTAATGTAATATTAACAAGATCAAGCCATTTTTCCGTTATCTTATCTATGTTCCATTCTTGAACACCGTCGTTTGGTTATTTCTCCTTAAAAGGTCCCACCAATGGGTCTGTTTTATCCTAATCTTTTGGTTCCAGAAGCATTTCCTCCACCACCAGAGACTTGGTTAGTCAAACCTTCGATTCCTTTCTTCTTCATTTTGTTCAACTGAGCTAAGATACTGATCCTTACAATGTATATTATCAGGTTTCAAGACCACGAGAATATGTTGGAGGAAACATGGAACATGGACTTCCCAGGTGGTAATATGGGTTTATCTGTATGGGATACTTTTACAGTTTCCCCACCGAATCCCAAGAAAGAAGAAAAGATTGGTCTTGCCAAAGCCATTACAAGCAGCATTCTCTCTGCTGGTGTGTTGATATGCTTTCTTCTGCTTATATCACTGTAGGAAGCACTTACAAAGTACCCTTTCTTTACAGGCCGCATAGACCTTCAGCGGAAGCTATTCTCCAGCATACAACTGGTAAATTCCTGAAAACACATCTTCTTTCAATACTCTCCAGAAACCGTTTGTATTTTGATAAACCCTGTAATACAATGTAACTTTATTCTGTCTGAATATGTTTTGAAATTCTATCATTTTGCTATTCAGGTTGGTGGTGTTGGTTTGACAGCCGGTCTTGTTCCTGCCATGGAGGAAAGGTTTGTTGTTTCATAATCTTTCTATGTAAAGCATGCCAAACAGATTTCGTATCTACTTGTTCAGTACTCTACGAGCATTGAACAAAAAAAGTTCCATCTCCTTCGCCCATTATTACGTGAAGTAATCTTTGTCTGGCCCTTCACGTAGCAGAGTTCTGCATGCAATCCCCCCAACCGAAGCCATTGACACTGTGGAAGTGAGTCTTGTTCTTTTCTTTCCTGGCTAATCAGTCACTTGATTGTCCAATGACCCTTCACCACACTTAGCTTTTATTTGTCCCAACACTCTCATGTTGTTTCTTGAGTTGATTTTTTTTTTCTGGGTATATCCAAACATTGACACATTGTTTGGTTTCGAATAAACCCTATAAAAAATCCAGGTTCTGCAATCGAGAATGGACCCGATATTTGTATCATGGAAAGGAGGAGCGGTAAGTTTTTCTGTAATGATTATTATTCTTCTGGGCCCTATTTCTCTGCTTATGATCACAAAAATGACAACTAAAACCGTACAAATCCATTTGTGTTGGACTTGGATCTGGACAACTGATTTCCGGGCTTGAAATCATTGGGGTAGACAGATCCTGGGGATCCTGGACTTTGGGAGGGAGGCATGGATTCACAGGGAAGACTGGATACGAAATGGGATACATGTCGGAAGCGGGAGGAAGTACAAGGATTCGTATTACCTAATGGCTCAAGCAATGTGCTTCATCAACTCATAGGCTCTTCGGTACGTTATTCTCTTGGCGTAACCAAATAAATGTCTTTAGCTTTTTTTACAGAGCTTTTTTTTACAGAGATGTGATTAGTGTTTCTTTTCGTGGACTGACCTCGACGATTACCGTCTTGACTTTTGTGTGTATAATAAAGTTACAAACTTTATGCATTATAACTTTCGGAAGGAGCATCTCAAGATTGGAGTTCCCGTTACAGTCGCTGCTAACGTCTTGTAGGTCGTATGCATGAAGAAGCTTAGTCCCACATCGGAAATAATCCAGGAGAAGAGCAGAGAAGTGTTTGCTTTGTAAAAGGTTACTGGTTAAAGAGGCTGTATTTCTCTAGTTCTTTTAATCAACTATGCTTTCGCTAATTAGTAATTAATGCGCTGTAGATATGATCATATGTTATTCGGTTGGATAAGGTTTAAGCTGTGTATTATGTTGATAAATTAAGGGTTTTATTTTATTTACATCATATGTTATCGTAGTTATAATTTATGAACTCAAGTGTAATGTCACTAAAGCTCTTTTTTTTTTTAATTTGTGATTCAGAATACCTAGTCGGGCTCACTTTGGGCTTTTTATTTTTTTAAGGGCATGAATGAATGAGGAGTTTAAGTTCCAAAAATTGGTATTTACACAAAAGACAAAACGGAAAGAAGAATATCTTCGAGGAGATTTTACTGGGAAAAATTTACGGCGGGTTAAATGTATTAGCGGGAACAAAACCCCGCGAAATCCAACTCAGCATGCCACTCAGTTCGCGCCAAAACCAAATTCCATAAAACCATCCTACAATTGATATGATCTCGGACCCCCATTTTCTCCACTCCCTCTCTCTCTCTCTCTCTCTCCCCCTCCCTCTATTACCCTTTTTCACTGTCTCGCCGCCGATTGGAGGCAATGGCCACGGAAGAAGACCAGACGATGCATTATGCCCGACCAAAATTCATGTCGGGTTCCGGTGACGGCTTTGATGCTTCGAGGAAGATCGTCCCTGTTAGTCCCGATGCCACGGCCGGATCCTCTGTCGTACTACGGACATCCACTGGAGTCCGAATCTCAACCCTAACGGAGGATCAGACCGGCGCGTCAAATGGTTCAAGTTCGGATCTCCGAGCGGATGATGGGTCGGGTCATAGGGCGGGGATTTCGTATTTTGCAGAAAAAGAGCTAAGTGGTGCTTCTGCTGAAAACTCTGTGAAACCCTGTGATGGGTTTGGGTGTATGGAGAAGGAGATGGTAGAATCTGATTCTGTTTGTCCGCGGAAACTAGAGATCCGTGTGAAGGAGGAACCCGATCTGCATGTCGAGAATCGGGTTTCTGCTCAAGAAGAAGAAATGGTTGCTGATTCTGTATCGAAATCCGCGGATGACACTCTTTCAAGACTCTC